TGATTGTAATTGGATCTACAACACCTTTCAATACTATAGCATTCCCCAAAAATATTACTACAACTATATAATATTACAATTGCATTTTTATTCTAAAATAAAAAATATATATTTCATTATGTTAAAAATATATATGATAAGACCTGGAGTTTTAAATAATATGATAAGAAGTAATAGGTTAATAAAAGCAGTATTCATTTTGAATCTATTAATTGCTTCAATTAACTTATAAAAAAATTAAATCAAAATTAAAAAAAAGGGTTTATAATTATAAATAAATAAATGAAAAGAATTTAAATTTTTAATAAATAACTTGACAAGATTGTTATGATTAATTACAAATTGAATTAAGCGGATACTTATAAAAGTCTATAACTAATACGTATATGTCTGTCTCTATAATAAAATAAATGGCTTAATGAAATTATAAAAATAAATTTTCAAATTAACCTTCTTATTTTTCCTTGAAAATTTTTTAATCTCAAATATATATATAAGAATATTTTTATCTAAATTGCTTGATCGAATCGAACTACATTATTTAGCATCACACCTTTCGTATTCTATTTTAAACCTCAATAAAGTTAAAAAAAATAAATCTTCATCAATCTATTAGAGATATTCATATTGCACTAAAAAGATTTTCCTGTTAATGTTCTCGAAATATACTAAATTTCATAATCAGATTAGAATTATATAAGAAATTGATGTATTATAAATTTAGTGCTATCAACATTTGAAAAATTTTCATAAGGTATAAATTTTGAATTTAAACTTAGTAGTAATTTTATGAGTGTATTTGTAATTGGTGATCATTAAATTAAGTATAGATTATCTTTCCCTGATCTTTCGTAAATTAAAAAAGGATTTGTTTAAAAATAGGTCTATTCATATTGAATATAGCCTATTTGAAAGCAAAATTCTGTCAGTATAAGTTTGATTTATAATTAATGCAGAGATTATAATTTACATTCAATATAAGTTTTATAATGATCTAATTAGTTTCAACTTAATTATTAAACGCTTTTGAATTTCTTTTAATTTATTGTTTGTTAATGTAATATTGAATGAATTTGGCTATAAAATCTTCAAGAAAATCTTCCTCGCTGGATTCAATATTAAAATATTGATTTAGTAGTGTAGTGATCTTGTAATTCATTTAATATACCAAATAATTTCCCTTATAATGGTGAAAAATCAGAATAAATACTTAATTGAAGTTTTTATAATTTAACCTTGATTGATTTTAAAATCCAATAATTCAAACAAATAATAATCATATCATAATCGAGATCAATTAAAATATTTTTACTAAACATAACTATTATTTTGTATGTCTATGTCTATTTTAATCAGTCTATTATTAAAAGTATTTGATTAATTTGAACCAATAATTTTTATAAGCCTTAAGATAAGATAATATGAACATCAACTTTTTGATTTGCAAACAGTATATTTTAATAAAGTTTTGAAATATTGATGCCAATCATTATCAAAAAGCAATCAAACTAGGAAGGTAGTTTTAAGAAAAAAATGCTAATCATATTTCATACTATGGAATTAAAAATTTTTTTTAATAAACAAAATAAAGTAATACTTCATTTATAAAATATTTCATATGATGAGTATTTTTTATGTTCATTATCCCAAAATACTAAATACTACCCATTATTGGTCATAGTTCCATAAGATTCATGAGTTTAACAATTTAATGATGCAAGAATGTTAAATGTGCCATCGTTTAATTGTCTAATCAAATAGATATGATGTTTGTGTCTTATCAATATCACATTTCTATCTTTATTATGTATAATTGGGAAAAAGAAATAATCATAACATTCATCATTGTTAATTAAACTAATAGTTTTATTTGAATTCTATTTAAAGACTCCATTCTAAAATTCAAAGAGTAAAATATCATTAATTTTTTTATCTTTAGTTACCCAAATGAATTAATAATCATTTAAGAAATGTATTTTATATCCTGCTTAAACTTGTTATTTATATCCTAATTCCCATTATCCTTATAATCCTTTCTCCCATATTCTATATTCATGATAACCACATGATGCCAATAAAGTTTCAGATTCATTAAAACTGAGTGAAAAAACACTATGACTATGATTATCTAATGAATACAGATAAGTCAGATGATTCTTCATAAAATCTACTTACCATACTATTATTTTATGATCATTCCCTCCTGAAATAAGTTGATCCTCCTATTTATTTAATATTAAACAATTAACACAACCACTATGTTATTCAAATGGTGATGAGCTTATCCATACATTTTGATTAAATTATTGCCAAGAGATAATTTTATAATAAGAGCAACCAGAAATAAAGTTATTTGTCTTTTTGCTATAAACCAAACAATAAATAGGATTAGTATGTCTTCTATAAGAATTAGATAATTTAAATCTTCCTTATTAAAAATTCCAGATTTGAATTATATTAGAATTAGCTGTAATTATAATTGATCCATCTTTATTGAACACCATAGCTTAACACCATGAACTCTATTAATTTGAATCATCAATTAATTAAAACTGAACTTATTTATACATCATCAATTATTATTCTAATTACTTCTATTCATTCTCAACTTAAATCACATCCTCTTATTTCTACATAATAAATTAATACACTTTACTTAATTTAATATTTATTCTTAAATATTTTCATTTTTTTCTTATATATTTTTTAGCTTTTTTAATATTTCTTTACATTTTTGGCTATGTTAAAATGATTAAAATTAGTTTAATTCATTTTCACTTTTTTGATTCCATGACATGTTAATTTAATGAATTTGATCAATTAATGGTTGGGGATTAAATTAATCCAGCTTTTTGTCGCTAATTAGTTTGTCCAATTCATCATAAAAACTATAAGTAACATTTTATTATCCAATCATTAATACATATTTGATCCATTCATCTACATTTCCAATTAATTAATCTAATTATTGAACAACATTAAATTTTAATTAAAATAGATTTTTTTAGAGTTCTTCAATCAGTTTGATGCTAATCATTATCACATTCTCAACAGATTCTTTCTTTTATTTTTGATTATCGTGGATAGTTTATTAGGCTTTCTTAAAACTCATTAATTGGGTTTTTGATTCTAAATTTTCCATGCATTCATGACATAGAAGTCTTTGATTCCTCTTTAAGTTTTTCTCACATGCAACCATTGAGATAGGAAGTTTATGTTTTAAAGAACAAAGTAGTTCTTCTTCTTTTTCTATCATTTTAGACTAAATCATTTTAAATTAATATTTAATTAAAAAAAGTAATTTGAAAATAAACATAGCAATAGAAACTTAAATTGATGTCATCCTTATAAAATACTAATAAATTATAGTTATATACTGGAAATCTATATTAATGATAATAAAGGAATTCAATAAAACGATGATAATCCTATTAATTTTGCAAGTATAATTTATATTAATTTTATTATCCACTAGAGAATAAAAAGAAGTCAATGTTATCAATTACAATTAATAAGTCAGGTTTTGTATTTGTTTAAATTAAAAGTGATTATTTTTCTATTTGGTATGTAGAGTAAATCACATTAACTAGGATCAAGATACATTCGATTCTCCAATAGGTGTTCACTAATTAATGACTTAATCATTGAAATACGTGGTCTCGAGGGCATGATCAATTAAACATTTAATACAAGATTGCTACTTGAGATCAATTAAAATTAAGAGAAGCAGTCAATGCTATATTGCTGCATGTATATTTTTTTGATACTTTTTTCATTACTTTTAGAGATTTCATCTACCTAAATATAAAATTAAGTAAATTTAAATTATTTGATTATATTAGCAATATATACTAAAAACTTATTTACACCCAGAGAACTAGTCATTCTTTGGCAAAAAATGAATTCATATCTACCCAAAAAAAAAATTCATTTCTCTTAATTCATAAATAGAAATTTTTCAAAATCCTCAACTCATTGAATAGATTAATTAATATCAACAATAAATATAATTATTACTGTTACCAAAGTAATAATTTTCTCAAATTACAAAGCTATATGACATTTTTTTTCCAATAAATAAATAAAAATGAATATATTTCTTTTTTTATGGGTAAAATATTCAATTTATCCAGATCCAGATCATACAATGTATTAAAGGAATAACTAAATGTTATTTCAAATTAGAAAGCAAGGCTTAGCACCATTATAATCATTAATTTTGATTGTCTATTATAGACTTCCTTAAATTAATTATACATATATGTAATTAATTACTAGCCCAGATACATCCTTTAAATTAAATAATCTTATATGATGCTTCCATATTTCATTCTACTATATTCTTACCTAATTGTAAATATATAGTCATTCTACATCTTATTATGAAAGTATCTTCAAATTTAACTGCCTCATGGGTTAAATAGCCATTATAGAATTCTAAGATACTTATATCTCATTAATATCTTCTTTAAAATATTTGATTTTCTTCCTTTCTTTGTTTTCTTATTCCTTCAATTATTTGCCAAATTCCCGGGATCTCCTTTTTCATTCTTAATTTACTTTATCCAATTATTCCTTACTATTTATACTCCTATTTAGGACTTAATTTAGTAATTGTCCAACTTATATTAGATATAAGATCTAGCGATTATTCTTTTCTCTTTAATTTATTCTTCTTATCTACTTCTTATCTTCCTTCAATTTTCTTTCTTAAGCATAATACTTTTAAATCAGATCAGCCATCAAAAATTTTTGAAAGGCCACCCTTATAATAATTTCAACTAAAATCCTGGATTCTCTTTGAGGATTCATATCTAAGATGATATACTTTTTATTGATTCTAATCAGACCTTTTCCAGAATTTCTTAATGTTATTTAAATTCTGATGTAAAAATTATTAGAAATATAAATAATAAAAAAAGAGATTATATTGAAATTCCATCAAAAAGAATCCTTAACTAAATAAGTCAATAATCTAAATAAAATATATTTAATTAGTATTCTAAGAATGTAATTGGAGATTAGTTCATTAAATTTAATAATTAATTATTATGTGTATAATTTTTCTTAGATTCTTTAAAATAGCATTTAATTTAATCATGTTAAATAAAACAGTTGAATTTTCAAACAATATCTGGCTCTATTTTATAGTTTTATTATCAATAAAAAATTTCAAGTTATTATAATAAGTTCGATAACAATAATTTACATTAAACTTTGATACCATTCAAGTTTTCAGATACATGACTTTAAGTCTCTTATTTTATATTAACTTTTTAATTAATTAATAAATATTAAATAATTTTAAAATGATTGAAAAAGAATAAGATCTTTTTTGTTCTATAAACATAAGATTCCAGTTTAAATGATTGCTTGTGATAAAGAACTAAAGAAGAATTAACGACTGTTTTGACCTCAATGTATGGAAAATTTAGAATCAAAAACCCTATTAATGAGCATAAAGTAGGCATTGAAAATTGTTGAAGAAAATCAACATTAAAAGAAAGAATTTATTTGAATGTTTTAATTTTTAACATCAAATAACTTGAAGAACTCTAAAAAGCTCTTCATCAATTAAAATCAAATGTTATTCAATAATTGGAATATTTCATTGAAAATGCAAATGAATGGATAAAAAAAAATTAGATATGGGGACAAGCAAAACTTACTTATAGTTTTTTTGATGAATTAGAAAAACTAATTAATCAATCTAAACTTGATTAATCCTTTTAAAAATCCTTGTTTGATTAAATTAGTTAAATTAATTAATCGTAGAATCAAAAGATATTTAAAAAATTGAATCTATTTAAATCATTTTAAGAAACTTAGAAATGTGAAGAACTATTAATAAGTTTACAAAATTTCAAATTAATAAAAGAAAACGAAATATTGATAGATAAAAATATAATATTGGTAAGACATAAACATCATATCTATCTGATTCGCGAATCAAATCATGGCACATTTAATATTATGGCATCATTAAATTGTTAAAATGATAAGATTTTGGGAACTATGCCCAATAATGGATGGTTTTTAGTATTTTTGGATAGCAAATATAAAAAGTATTAATCATATGAGATATTAAATAAATGAATTATATAAAAAAACAGAAGAAATTTTTTACTTATCATTAAAAATTTAAAGTATATTCACTTGTGATTATACCAAAAAATACTAATTCGCAATTATCAAATTTATCCAATTTATAAATAATCGCTGGAAATTTAACTTCAATTCCAAAAGTATAGTTTATCTCAAATATATTAAAAATTTTTGTTTCTAATTAATTCTAGATTATTTTATATTTAAAATAAAGATTAATCTTGTTAATTCGAAAAAAGAATGAAATAAGTCAAGATTGTTATTTTACAAAACATTTTGGAAATTTTTAACTAAAATGATAAATTTATCAAACTTTACATCAATTTAGAAAGTTAACAGATTAAGAAATAATATTTTGCAAATAAACAATTAATAGGATAAAGAATTCTATTAATATAACTAAATCTTGAAAACCATCAATTTTTATTTAAAAATAATTATTGGGATTAAGAAAAAAACAATATATCTATCAAATTATGAAAAATGTCTAAATAATATTGAGAAAAATTGGAATTATCTTTATGGATTCAAACCACGAAATTGCACGAATTTGGATTAGTTCAAATACTATTTTGTAAAATTAATATATAAATTTAAACGGTTCTATTTATTATAAAAAAGCCTATTAGATTCTAAAAATAATTTTAAGGATATCAATTTGTGATAAAACTGAAAAATATATAATTTGGTTTGAAAACTTCTCAAAAAAATGAATTTAGATAGGAGTAAATGTAACTAGATATGAAAATTTGAGAGGTATTAAAATCTTCAACAATTAAATAGAAATCTCAAAAATAGTATAAAATTTACTTGCTTAGAACAGTTTAAGTCAGAAGAATTTATATATATTGAAAAAAAATGAGTTTAAATGATATTATTAATTATTTCATATATAAAAAAATCTCAAGAGTTTAATTTCTCCATCGATGGATGTTCAATCAAACATGAAATTTTATAAATTCATCTAAATTTTATTTATTGTTTATGAAATTTTTCTTATAAACCTACCTGTTTAATTATTTGAGCTATCTTGGTTGGTCTTCCCTTAAGGAAGCTAAATATAACAACTAAATTTTATCTCATATGCAATATTACAGGACCTTAATAGTGTCCAATTTACTAATTTGACATATGTAGTATTTAAAGAGAATTTAATTTAATCTCTGTGTAAAATCATTTTCTGATATGGTGTAGTCTTCTGAATTCAATTAAAAACTAGATTGAATGATCTGAAAGTACCTTTTGTCAGAAATTCAAGTCTATGCGACGTTTAGAGATTGCTCGCAAATGTGGATTGGGATGGTTTAAATCTGCCAGACTGTCAACTATCCATCATAATATAAAAATTTTAAAGAAATTTTCTAGAATTTTTTAAAATGAGGTAATAATTGAAATCGGAGGGATTTTTAATTATAGTTCAGCCAAAATTATTAGTCACTAAAAAACCTTTTGAAAATAACTGAAGTGTGAGATGTGGTTCCACCCTCTTTGAAAATAATAGACTGGATCAAAACCAAGAATATGATTGGATTTATAAAATTTAATTAAAAAGGATAACCTTTAAATGCTCTTTACAATAGGTCTAACTAATAATCCTGATAGGTTACTTAAAAAATAAATATTAAAAATTTGGATTAGCACAGTTAATAACAAAAATATTGGAATTAAGAAAGAGGATTATGTAAACATAAGAAAATTTTATTCAGTATGAAAATGAGAAGGTGAGAAACAAAAAGATAGAAGAGACAACTTAAGAGTAAATATAAATGGATTAACTCAATATTATTGACACCAAATTTATCCAATAAATAAATCCCCATGATTAAAAAAAGTGAATTATTACTTTAATTCTATTTCGCCTTTATAAAATGAAAGATTGTTAAAACTCAAAGTTTTAGGAATTCTAGCAATTAATCTTAATATTCTAGATTATAGGTACTTATTTTGGATATAGCATTAATATTTAAATAATTGTTAGCCAAAATTTATTTTTGGGTATATTTAGTTCATTTATTTAATCTTCCTCCATCATTATGTTTAAACCAAATTTTTTGTACTTAATCAATTCCTTATCATTCTCATCGAATCATTTCCAATTATCATGGGAATATTTTCAAACTATATATTCTAAGTGTTGAAAATTCTAGATAAATAGGTTCATCCACTCTTCGTTTATTCTTCCATTTTAATACATAATCTACAATAATTAGCATTATTAAAAAAATAATTCTTAAAATAAATGTATATTAAGCTTAGTAAATAAATAATTTGGAATCATATGCTCTGAAGAAATTCATAATTAAGAGTCTATTAATTTTTCAAAAATTTCTCGAATATGTTTTCTATTATTAAATTATATATATTAGATTGGTTGTTACTTTGACAGATTCTTTTTATGAATTGTATTGTTTTCTAAATTCACTGAATTTAATTCACTTTATCAATTGTTTGTGAAAGTAATAGAAAATGAGTAAAAGAGAAGGATATATTAAATCTATCTTTTTTATTGACACATTAATTACCTAAAAAAATTCTATTTATCATGAAAGTCAAAAATATTAATTTGATAATTTTAGGAATAATTTCAATTAGATAAATTTAAGATCAAATCATCTATTTAATTAATTTTATTTTATACTTTTAATTGAATTAATCTCTATAATTAATTCAGAATGCTTTGATTTTATTTTTAATTAAGTAATATTTTTATTTATTAAAAAATCATATATTATAAAATAAAAATTTTTATCTTGAATATTCATTTAATAGAAAATTTACGAATATTAATTATACAATATTTCTTTAATACTTCATGACTTTAATAGTTGTTGAAAATCAATAAATGAATTATTGATTATGATTAATTATATATTTCTTTGTTTAATCAGTATTCTAATATTAATAAAGATTTCATAATAATTATTAATATTTTCTTTATAATGAGAAATCCTAAAAAAGTAAAAGTCATATTATTTGGCCTGAAAAAATTTGATGAATATAACTATTTTAGTGATACATAGGCCTTTATTGAGAGAGTAAAGCCACCAGATTTTCCTTTAAATTAAATAGGATAGAGTTAAGGGATTCTTCTATCAAGATTAGAAAATTATGTTCAAATAAAAACAAACTATTTAAATAAAGGGATAGAAGGAAAATTTATGTTTTGTAAGAGAATTCAATTATATTAATATAGCTTTTTATAATCATAATACCAAAACATTTTATGACATGAATACATTATTAAAAGATGGTTCAAATTTCATATTTCTTAATTTGGAATTTTGTGATGATTAAAAACCATTGTTGGTTAGATTGGTCTTTATTATTAATAGAGAGATTTTAAACTAATTATAGATTGATTTAGTGAAAAATAAGGAGAAGTTATCTTATTTAAATTAAAAAATATTGGAATTATATAAAAAATTATAATTTGAATCCCAATTACTAAATTAAATAAATGAAGAAATTAATATAATAAAGGATTAAGATTAATATCAAAAAGAAAAATATGATATCGCAATATTATATAGTCATCCTGTAGTAGACCAAGATCCTGAAGAAGAAGATAAGTATTTCCCTGTAAACTTTAATGAAGACATTTCATTATTTTTAAATCTAATAAAAGAACTAAATATAAAGATTTCATATTATATTACATAAGCAACTAAACAGAATTTATATAAAGTTTTGAGACAAAATCCAAAAATAATATATATTAGTTGCCATGGAAATTTAGATGATAATATGGAGACATGTTTAGAATATGAGAAGGAGTTGAAGGAGTTGAAGGAGTTGGAGTTGAAGGATGATCGATATTGTTGTATAGAGTAAGTAACAGAAACAGATATTTCTAACATTTTGAATTAGCAATTATTAAAAAGAGCTTTAGTTTTTTTAAGTTGTTGCCATTCTGGAAATATCGCTGAAATATTTCATTAATAAGGCTATCCTACTGTAGGAATTGATAAACGTTTAAAATTAGGAGAGAAAGCTGCAAATTCATATTTCTAAAGCTTTTATGAGAAATTACTATAAACTTAATAGGATTTATAACTTAAAGAATGCCATGACTAGGCAAAAAAGTAAGTTTAATAAGATCTTGGGAAGAAGGACTTCTAATATTGTGAATCTCATAAACATACTTAAAAGTGCAAAAAGTTATTCGAAACGGAGTAAAGTAATCAATTAATTGCATTTCAATAATAAAGATCTTGTTGTCAACCATAAGAAGATATATTATAACACAAATTAGATGATCAATGTCAAGTAAAGAAAAAGATTTAAGAATTTTTGAAAAAGTAGTTTCAAGATTAAACAAATGCTTTTTTAGAAAGATTAGATAAAGTTGCAAAATAAAATAAGGGCTTATTGAAAATATGTTGCTGTGAATTAGCAGAAATATTTTTTTTTTAAGATGATGAGTTTAAGAATGATTTCAATTACTCATAAATTGAAATGGAGCACAGATCATCAGAAACATTTAAGCTTTTTGGGAATGAAAATGAGTTGATTTTTAGTTTTATTAAAAAAGGCGATTAAACACCTAAAAATAAAGTTTAATGGCTAAAGGAATACTTGGTTTAAATTGAAGAGTCAAAATAAATCCTTACTTAGTTATTGGATATATTTTAAGAAAAAGAAAAAAGCAAAATTATTTATGTTTAAATTTCAGATAATAAATAAACTGTGAACGATTAAATCCTAAATTTTTTAAAATAAGTTGCAATTTATTTTAGAGTAAAACTTTAATATATATTTTAGCAAAGATATATTGAGTAATCTTAACTAAAAGACATTAGAATAGAAATTATTGACAATATTAATCAAATATCTAAGAATGAAGAATAAGTCCAATACATATTTATTATTAAAGGAATCAATTAAAAATAGTGGGAGTAAAGCAAAGAATTTTTTATCAATTAGAAACATATTGTTATAATCCCTTATATTGAGTTGAAACCCAACCCTCCTAATCGTATATATTTAATGTATGATGAATTTATAAAAATCTACGAGGAAAATATAAAGAAAAATCCAAATTGAATTGATACAAATACATTTAACATAAAATTTACATTACATGAGCTAAGTTGTTATCTTAATAGATATAAATTATTTAATTTTTTATTATAATGAATTAAATATTTAAATAATTTCAACATTTTCTTAATAATAATATTAAAATTATATTTGAAATCCTCTTATATATCATAAACTCACCTCATAATATTATTTTTTTGATTAATTTTTATATAATGAGACTTATTATTGAAAGTTGGCATTATGAACAGAAGAATATTAATAGAAACTTTCTTTAAGTCTTTTCTATGTTAAATTATAAAAATATGAAACACTATTCTGGTGAGTAATTAAAGTTAAAATTTAATTTTATTAATTGCCTAAATAAATATTAAAATAACATAAAACAATTTCAGGAAATCTGTTATAATTATTGGTTTTAATATTTTGATTATATTTAAATAAAATTCTACATCCAGATTTAATCTAATACAAATGAAAATTGTAAAATAAAAATTGAACCAGCATTCTATTTATTATTTATTAATTAAATCTCTATTACTAAATAATAAATAAAAAAGTTTTACACTTTAATAATTTCTGCCTATTCAACTTTATTTAAGGATAACATTAATTCAGACAAAGTAAATTATTATGATGCAATCAATATCTTTAAAGATCTAAAGATAATTTATTAAAAATTTGTTTTAAAAATATTAAGGTATTCCAAAACTCTTTTTTTTTGGACTAAATACCCTAATCTTAAATACCCAAACTTTAGTTCTTAATTATTATAGCTTCTAATTAAAAAAATAGATGCAATTAAAATAAACAACTAAAATACTAAAAAAGAATGTGATCTAAAATTTTAATCTAAGGATTAGTTAAATAATAATTGATTGACTGACTATCAATTTTACGAGATTATTCAAATTATATCACTAAGTTTGTAATATCTTAATTTATCAATTTATCCTTTGATCATGCTATGAATTACTATTCCCTAATTTCTTAGTCAGAATTAATTGAATTAAGAGATTAAATATTATTTATAAAGGTTTCATAGAGTCAAATAAAAGAATAACTATTCATTTATATCCAAAAAAAATAAATATTTAGATTCGCTATG